GGGGGGGTCGGGGGAAAATATATGACGGCGACGAAGGCGGGCTGCAATAACTCTGGGTGATATCGGGATGCGACTCCTCCTTGCTTTGCTTCTCTCCCTGTCTCCTCCCTTTCCCTTCCCGTTCACCCCCTCCCTCGCCATCGCTCCTCCACTCCACACCACCTCGCCTCAAAGGGGACCAATAGCGACTGTAAATTGTCATTCTATATCTGAAGGTGTGAATTTTATGTGGTCCGTAAATGAATACACCGTTATGTCTAGAGGGATAGTCGTGCAAAATTTTTTTTTTTGCGAATGTGTCGGGTGGGACTGGAACTAACTGGCAAATATTTAAAAATGATCGTTGGTTCGAACGCTCTTCTCAGCAGCAATCACTGGATGGAGAGCTTTTGTGTGTTCTGGAAATGTTTCCCCGGAAATGCAGATTTTTCAAACATCTGCTGAATGACTGCAGTGCTGAGGAGAACTGCACGACGGGTGATTTGGGCCGATAGCTATCAGGGAATAACGCCTTTATGTGAATGATTTCTTTTTATACGTCCGCCGCTTGATGTTCGGATAAGCAGAGCTGCGTGATTTTTGATGTCGGTGGTAAAATTGTTTTATAAAGGGATTCTTATTGAAACCAGTTGGGTAGGCTGGGCTTTCATTTTCCACACCCGCTTCTCTCTCTTTGAGTGCCCAGAAAATTTTCGCACTCACTTTACGTCTGTAAAACGCAAACGGCGGAATAAGTAACGCTTTGCAGTGGATCATTGTCAGTCTTTACAAGACTCAAAACAACAAACTGACCCACTCTGCCATAGTGTGCGGCTGAGGAGTTGACACTAGCCGTATGCCAATTACTGCGATTCGCCATCCCGAAAGCGGTATGGAAGAAAACTACTTTTAGTGCGAGAGGCGCGTTGGGGGCAGAATGTCCTAGGGCTGGTAATGATCAAGGGCTAATTTCAATACTTTACGAAATGTATGGATTGAATTATTGCCTGAAGAAACGAATACTTATGGAGCAAGAGAAAAAAGCATAACTCACACCAGGACTAAATTATTTTGGGATATAGTAAGTATATAATTCTCAATCAAAGAAAAGAGTGCAAGGAAAATATATTCTTGTAACAAGAACCCAGTTTAGTAATTAAATCTGAACGGGAAACGTTTCCTGGTGTCGTTACACTCCCATTTCACTGGGACCGATACACGTTGCATTAAACTGCATTTATTGTTAAAACCGTATGTTCATTATACGCATATTACATTATGCCCTTTATACCACATAATGTTGCGACAATTTGCCGTAAATGTCCTACTGTTACAACCGTATGACACGTCTGTCCCATTGTTGTAACAGGAGATACTGTCCAATAGGCCTACTGTTAGATTTTCCGAGATTTTTGGGGTAAGTGTAAAACAAATGTTTAACGCAGTTCTTGCCGCTTAATGTTTTTGAGAGAGAGAAATGCCCAGCTACAGTGACTGACGATATAACCCCTACTTTTATATTGCGGATAAGAATAGCAAATATTTAACTGTTTTTGAAAGATTAAGCAGCTGCCACAACTAAACATTTGCAGCTGTATCAACAAAATTAAAGTCCCCGGCCCGCGTACAGGGTCAATTGTTTTACTGCGGGACAATAGCATTGCTCTCGGTTTAGTTAAAATTGCCGATTTCCTAGATGTATGTTATCGTGACACATATTATTTTGTTGTTTTGGGGTATCACACGCCATAAACATGCAATGTTAATGTTAGATTTACAACGAGTGGCAAGATTCTTTAGAATCTGCAATTGTAAAATGTCGACCAGAAAGTTCAGTTTTTATCGCTCATCTCTCGAATTTCCAGCACAACTGTCACATCACGACTAACTTTTCATTTTATTGGTAAAAATTGAACCACACCTCATTAATTTATTGTGTAAGCGTATGGTAATGTAAATGTAACACTGCGATTCCACTACGAACTGATGAACCACCATTATAGGACAGAGGTAAGGACATACAAATGTTAAGTAATGAGCGGTAAGTAACGAACAGTTATATTAATCAACCGTTCGCTTAGTTGAAGTTTAAGTATTGAATTAAGTCGTCGCCCAAAGGAACCCGGTGACGCCTACCTGGTGAAAGGTGCCTGGGTACGGTGGCGAGTAATTGGCATAGTACGATGGAGTGAAGATCATGTCGGGCCTGGCTGAGCCTATGGCTGAGCCTGCGGAGGAGCCCGCGGCTGAGCCTTCGGCTGCGGCTCCGGAGGCACCTGGCAGAACCGTTGGAGGGGTGGGCTGGGTTCAGCAGCAGGGGCGTCCCAGGGCCAGGGGCGTCCGGCGGGGTGAGGGGCACAACCACATCGTAGTCACACTGACGGCGGGATCATCAACACGCACGGTCACACTTTCCAGGGCACACACTCACTCAATCACAAACGCGCGCGAACCGAGTACGGGTACACAACAACAACACTAGCCACTCGCGAGGGTACGCGGTCGCTGCAGGCGGCCGCTCCACCGCGGGGCGTCAGCGTCCACCCTGAGTAGTACGGGACGGGCAACGGGCGGCGAGGCACTGCTGGGATGCTGCTCGCTGGCCGTTCCACTGCCGCGCCCCGCCACGCCCCGCCGCGCCCCGCCACGCCCCGCCACGCCCCGCCACGCCCCGCCACGCCCCGCCACGCGGCGCTCCGCCTCGCCGCCGACCAATGCCACCCAGAGCAGGGGAGAGGGACGCCGTCGGATGGGCGGAGTCTCCTACAGTCTGCCCCGCCCCGCCCCGCCCTCCCCCCCGGCTGCTCCCTCCATGCTCCTGGGCCGGGGGTGGTGAGGGTGAGGCGGGGAGGCCGTCCCGTCCCTCACTAAACCTGCCGGCCGACAGTGGCCCGGGCAACAGAGCATAGGAGTAGAGGAGTAGCACACATGGTGGAGAGGTCGCTCCGGGTCGCTCTCTTTAGAGCCGTCTGCATCCAGACCAGAACCGCATCTCTTTCGGTGGAACCCTACACTGCACCGGGTATCGCCTTTGGGAAATTTGTAATCTTGATATGCGTTGGTCTGTGACAAAGTTGGACATGCAAACCACAAAATCCTTTCTCAAAGATTAAGGTTTTTGTCAAGTAAAAGTCATTTTGTTGATCAAGCTGTTGAAGGAAACCTTGACGCGCCCTGCCGGAAGCGTCAAGCGCGAGGCGTTATCAGGGATCGTCCAGAAAGTGCGTCCCGTTATCTCAGATTCATTCGGCGAGGGTTTTCAGCGCCTGCGAGACTCGGGGTAGGCCACCCCGCGGTACTCGCATGCATTGCAGGCAAGATGTTGCCTACCCGTCAGGCGTCACGAGAGCTTGCTATGATTACAACGGAAAACGACAGATGTACTTTCTCGATGATGACTTCGCACGATATGCACTGTCCACAACTTCAGCTTCGCAATTGAAGAGGCATCAGCCAAAACATTAGCCAGAGGCATCACATCAGCTCTGTTTGCCCACACGGCCAGGTGTGAGTGGTCCCGTCCCAGAGGCACTCAGCCGCCTCCCTCACCCTCACCGCGACGGCATCAACCCCCCCCCTCCCCACCCCTTCGAGCCGGAGAGTGCCTAGGAGGGGGAGAGTGAAGTGGATCAAAAATACAATTCTCTTTTCTCGTTGAGGCAATATCGCCGACGAGAGGCGCCAGCCCACACCCGCGTACACCGCGCCAGTCCTGCCACTGCAATAAGGTGGACGAGGAGACGATAGTTCCAGGCGACTGCCGCTGCTGTGCACAGATTAAAAGGGAAAATAAACGACTTGACATCCTGCTCGACGTCGTCGTCGTCGTCCTTTTGGGACGTGGCACGGCTTTACAGGGAGGAGAGGAGGGCGGTGGACGGAGGGGGGTCACTTTGGGGGTATCCCGGGGCGTCGAATGGAGGCCCTCGCGGAAGTGCTGCAATGTGAACCAACCATTCACTTAATTTTGCCATATACATTTGGGGCAAATTAATCAAGGTTTTCTTCAAAGATTGTGCATCAAATGAAATACCAAGGGTTGTAATCAATAGGTAACTGACTAGAAACAAAATAGAAATTTATTTGTCGCTTCTCGTCCTGTTCCTTGAATTATGTTTGTTGTTATTTTTGTTTCTCTGCCCTGGTTTCTAGGCTGCTTTTGTCCGTCTCACACGGGCTCAGTGTCATCCGTTCTGCTCCGCCTCGCTCCGGCGGCTTGGTCCGCCCGGTGCGCTACGCTCCGCCACGCCTCGGAGGCCCATCTAGAGCCCCTTCTAGAGCGCCTTCCAGAGCCTTAGTGTCACCCTAGCTCCCGGCCAGGCAGGCCCGCGCCTGGACACGGCCTGGACGCCAACGGGAGCGTGACGCGGATGTGCCCCGTTAAAAAAATATAAGAGATACAATGTCAAAATTCGCGCAAAAACAAAATGCGGGAAATTGAAATAAAATAACGAGCGCTTGATTGCCAGCCCTGAGAGCGCCAAACTGGGCCAGGCGGTGTGACACCTCACCTCACCATGCAGGCGGGCGGGCGGGGGCCACCGCTAGCGACCTGGGGGAGCCGCTTAATCCAACTTGACAAATTTCTAAGAAAGTTTTGAGGGATGGCGTTTTTGAAACAAGGCCCCCCGCGGCGTGGCGTGGCGCGACGTGGCGCGGGGCGAGCGGAGAGTGATTTAGATACGGAGGCCGCGTGATTCATTACCACTTTATCGCCCTGGACCGGACACTGCAGAAAACTCAGATGATTCGTCCAAGTTATAAAAGAATTGTAATGAAAGACGAAAAGCACCATCAAATAAAAATCTAAATGATTACTGTGCAGGAACGACTTTGTGTTGTGTGTGAAACCGCGAGACGCATGCCTTCAATCATGCCGTGTGGGTCCCTCTCCGAAGGATAAATCGCTGTTGACAGTCCGTCCCGGTGGTGGCCGCCGGCCGCTTGCCTTTGCGCCCGACTCGTGTTGTGACGCGATCGTCAGATGTTGGGTGTCGGCGCTGACAAGGTGTGAGCACGCGGAGCACGCTCCTCGCCGTGTCGTCTGCTTGTTCCTCATTCCTCCACGTCAAGGGCGGGACGCACCCCCTCCTTCCCCTCCTCCCCCTCCCCCACTCATCACGACATTCCTAACTCTGCCGACCGCCCATCCTCTCGCACCTAACCCTATTGACCTTTTCGGAAAAGGTGTTTTTGAATGAACTACGCCTCTGATAATGAAGCAAGATTATGAGATTGCGTTGGCAGGAGGAGCGGGATTTCTTTTTTTGAGGGGGGGAGGGGGGCGAGTTAAGCGCGAATCCCACTCCGACCGGCACGCGCAGCGAGGAATGCGCCTTAAGAGGGGGGAGGGGGAGGGGGAGAGAATGGTGTAAAACGAGTAGAAAGGCACGGGGAGAAGCGCGCGGTCGTTGTAGTGGCGTAGCCCCGCGAAGCCCAGGGAAGACACGAGAGTGGAGGCATGAGGACGATATTAGCGAGATAGTATTTAGTAGCGGAGAGGTGTTTTTGTCCCCTCCTCCCCCTGCATCCGAAAATGTTAATCAAAGCGAGCCAAATTTCGTGATTAACTTCGGTTGAAGTTGATTGCTGAAGATCACCGAAATCTCGATAATCGCAATAAGTTGTGAAGTTAAAAGTTCACAGAAATTCGTGAAAGTTCATATTTATTTGATCTTTAATTAAAGTTCATTTTAGCCGAAAAAGAAATGCTTACAGTTCAAGCGATCTTGCTTTCCTCTTGACGTCACTCTCGTGATCGCTTCTTCCACTCCTACCGAGTTCTAAAAGTCAACCTCCAATACAAAAACGATAGTGAAACAAACGTGCAGTCCAAACTTGCCGGGGACACACCTTGAGGACGACACCACGGTGCAGTGGGCCCTGCTGCCCCCCGTGGAGCCCCCCCCCCTTCCCCAGCCCCGGCGGGGGGCTCGTACGTGTGGTCCCCCTAGTGCCCGTACATACATCACGCCCGTTTATGTTTTATTCGGTGGGCGCAGGGGCGTTATCACCATCAGATAATGCGATCTCAGTCTTACGCGCTTATTTGGTGTGTATGTGTGTTTGTGTTTGTGTGCGTATGCGTGTGTCCACTTGGTTGTCCTGCGGAATGCAAGTGCGGATTAAACTTGATAACATATGGTATGCGAGATGATAACAAAATTTATTAACACTATTCGCATTGGTAATAATTGTAATCAATGTCATCATTATTTTCGTCATTGCATTGCCCTTCACCACAGTACATACCCAACCCTCTCCCTCCTATCCACCCATACCGACACCGCAATTCATACATTCGAGGGCTCTACATGGCTGTATTGCTCGTCACAGTTTTATAGAATCACGTATAATGACCACATGCCGCGCCCCGGGCGCGCGCGCAGCCGCTTGTGGGTTGGCCGTCTGTAATCAGCATTAGTCAGTTGTCAGAAACAATCTGGTGTGGTCTCCCTCTTTTCTGGTTCTCCCCCTCCCTCCACCCGTCACTCCCCATCTACCCAGCCACACCCCAAGTTGGCGTTTTTTAAAACATTTTGCGCTGCTTCTTTTCCTACGCCTGCTCTTCATTTTTTTTTGGCATGCACTGAACAGTGGTGTACTATGCTTATTAGGAGACGTTGTGCATTTGTCAGCAGGCCTGGCGCTGGTGACAGGCTCCATCATGGGGCGGTCTCAATCAGCCCGTAATTATATGTCCTCATGCCGTGCGTTCAGAAATAGAGAACCCATCTCCAACGACATTAAAACACATACAAACGGTAAATTCTAAATTTAAAAAGGGGAACCTGAAGCGTCGTCACGTGGGCCGGAACTAACTGCTACCGTCGTTATAGTAGGTCCATTTCGGGCTAAAGAAAGACCTGGCGCCCGCTACGCGCCAAAACCTCTGGGGTGCAATTAAAACATCGCGCCGGATAAAACATCCCGCACATGGCACTTCTGCCCCCCCCCCCTCTCCCCCAAAATACTGGCACCTCTAGTTACAACACACACCGCCCCTCCTCTCCCGTCTAAAGGAAAGGGAGAGAAAAAATACAGCGGGGAATGCGGACGAAAACTCAAGCCTCGGGGGCCGGAGGGGGGTTCAGCAGGAAGCTCTATCCCCCCAGCCTCCCCGCCCCCTCTTTTCCCTTCGGCCTCTTTACTAAAACAACTACTGAGCAGCATAAAAACAGTTGCATCGCGGCGTGTCTGTGCAGCGCCGCCCCAAAGGGGAGAGGGAGGGGGTTGTAAAAGAGCAAAGGGGCCCCAAACAAACATCATTCATAGAGGTTGCCATGCGTTGGGCCCCCCTGTCAGGGACGCGCGGGTCGCCAAGTCGCAGCCGAATGGATCGGGGATTGAGACTTGACAGAGAGTCGCAGCCGTGGCGTCGGGTGGCTCACTATTAGTAGGTACACGTCAGCATGGGTTCTCTCAAGTGGTCTTTGAATGTCACCTTCTCAGCCTCAAGCTGGACTGAATCCCTTTGCACAGGACTTGGGGGGGGGGGGGGGCTGTGGTCAGAGAGCTTCAGCAAGCGTGGTGGTCGCCCAGTCGCGGTGCGGTCGTGGGTGTCTCTGCACCGCCCCACCCCGCTCTGCCCCGCC